CACAAGTCATCAACATCATCATGCTTTACTACCATGTTTGCTTGACCCCTTTTCTTGTCTTTCTTCCGAGCACGACACTCCGTAGATTTGTGTCCGGTTTTCCCACAGTTGTAGCAGTTTCCACTGAACCGCTTCTTGTTTGGGTTGTATTTCGGACCAGAAGCCTTCTTTCTCTTTTTGTTATCTTTAACAATATTTGCTCCCATTATTGTTGAATTTCCATAGCCTCTCCTTTCAGCAACTTTATTGTCCTCTTCGATTCTCAATCTAACAATGAGATCTTCAAGGGACATTTCCTTTCGTTTGTGTTTCAAATAATTTTTGAAGTCCTTCCACAATTAAGGCAACTTCTCAATTATTGCTGCTACTTGGAATGCTTTATTGATGACAAGACCTTCAGCAAGTAGATCATGAATAATTACTTGCACTTCCTGGACTTGGGTAATAACAGACTTGCTATCTACCATTTTGTAGTCCAAAAATTTTGCAGCGACGAATTTCTTCATCCCGACATCTTCAGTTTTGTATTTCTTTTCAAGCGCATTCCACAATTCTTTTGACGTCTCCACGCCACTGTATACATTATACAGATTATCCTCCAGTCCGCTAAGAATATAATTCCTGCACAAGAAGTCAGAATGCTTCCACGCCTCAATCACGAGAAAGCTATCATTCTCTGGAGTTTCATCTGGAAGATCAGGAACATCTTCCTTGATGAACTTCTGTAGACATAACGTAGTCAAGTAGAAGAACATCTTCTGCTGCCAGCGCTTGAAATCCATCCCAGAAAATTTTTCGGGTTTCTCTGTTGGTGCCAATGCCGGAGTTCGACTTGTCGATGCGTTGGCAGTCATCATCGGAACAGCTTGATTTCCGTCATTCGCCATTTTTTATTTTTTTTTGAAAAAAAAAATGACACAAACAAACGTTTAATAAACGTTTAAAACTGGAGTGAAAAATCACGTAGATTTTAATCTCCAACAAAATGCCACGAAGGCTTTACTCTCCAAATGGGAGTACACAAAACCACAAAGGTTTTAAGTTTCCAGAATAATAAGAATAACACAAATACAGAAATTAAAATTATTAAATTCCTTAAGCTTGTTATTACTTTTGTAAATGATGATTCTGGAAATTAGAACGTTAGCTTATAAACGTAAATATAAATAAAACAGAAATTAATTCGAGCCCACTGAATTCACAGTGTTTCCTTAAGGAATTTAATCCTCTCCTAGTACCCAAGGTTATGGATTATTTTCTCCCAGGATAGAACGAATTACACACTGGTGTAGCGGTATTTCAAACCCCAGTGTTTCAGCGAACACAAAGTTCGGCAGCAAATCACACTTATGGTTACTTTGTTTGTAGTTTAAAGCAATGCACAAGAAAGGAGGAAAACTCAGAAGTCGAATGGAAATTCTGAGAGGAAGGAATGCAAATTATAGTCAACGTTGAGTTTTTCGGTGAAGAGAAGATCAATAGCTCTCAATTCTGTTTCGGTGTGTGATTCTCCAACTGCTGCTGCTCATATTTATAGCAGTCAGTTGTNCCTGATTCTCCAACTGCTGCTACTCATATTTATAGCAGTCAGTTGTGAGACCCGCCCCCTCTCCATGGTGGAGCATGCAGTAGCTTGTTATGGAGCAAGCACTTAGCCATGGTGGGAGGAGCACTAGGCGGCAATACACGGATTGGAACATATCCGTTATAAACACGGATAATATTACGTTAATATTTACTATTAACAAATAAATTTGGTCCAAAAAATTAATCAATCAATCATTTGACCAAATCCGAAGCCGAAGCCGAAGCCGTAGCCGAGCGACGACGGCGCGCGGCTTGCCTTCTTCCTAACTCTTTAAGAGCTACATGAAGTGCATTTGTATATAAACCCACCAAACTCCTTTTCCGCTACCAATGAGGGACAATGTCTCATTAAAAGGAGAGGGAAACTTAAAATTTTACTCAAAATTTTCATTTGCCTCCATTTCCCATTCACCCTCTTTTTAATACATTTCTATATTAAAAAGAAACTCAACAATATCTTTATTAAATTTGATCTAAGTCAAGAAAACCAGACCACTAATGGATAGAATATGGACAGCAACATCTGAAACCCCACACCGATAGCCATTCAATATTTCTTAGTTGTCAAATTCTGGTGACATTTTAGGAAGAGTAGCGTGTAAGAACCTATCCTTGGGTGAAAACAATAGCTGGAAATGGCCGTTAGTGGTCCAGAAATATTTGTCCTTAAAAACGAATAACATTTCTCTACTACTCCAGATCAGTTTTTCTTCAGCTGGTGATACTTACTATTCTAGGATACGTTTATCAAAAACAGATTTTTGTGACTGTTCATTAATTAGAATACGATAATGCACATCCATTTTAAAATGCAAACGTTTGTAGATAAACGAATTGGGCAGCATATCTCATTGCATAGAAAGAAGACAGTGAACAGTTAAAAACTGAAATCGCTTGTTTGTTTATCCTAATTAACTAGATAAAGAGCATGGGATATATTTCCTATTTACTCTGATGAAAATTGATTGGAGTTCTAAACTGAATCCATCATAAGACCGCCTATGCGAAAATATAGAAGTTTAGAAGAAGATTACTTTGGAAAGCCATATAAAAGCAGCACTGCTTTCACTTTGCGTCCTGGAGGCAGTTGTTCTACTTCTTTCACCACTTTAATATTTTCACCCCTTTGTGTTGACCTTGTCACCTAGCATAAGTGATTTGAATACAAAATGAAAGAGTAGATCACATTCACTGTTACAGGGGCAGATGCAATATATAATCAAAACTCAATGTTCTTTACTCAGAGAATATATATACATGTAATAAATCAATGAAGTTTCTACAAATATTAAAATATAAACTCATAATTGCAAAAATCCATTGAGTTCAATAGTGAGAATATAAAAGTTAAAACCATTAAGTAGAAATTTTGGATCCGCCTCTGACTGTGTACCATAAAAGTTGTATTAACTTTCATTCCATTGCAGAATGCATCAACCCATCAAACAGAACTGTAACAGAAACAGATGTACTCACATAATTTACGGCGTCCAATTCAAATTTCTCGTAAAGCGTCAATCCAAGTAGGCTCTGTGAAACCAATCAAATTCTATTATTATTAAAAGATGCAATAGAAGTGATAGAATTCCTCTTGATAATGTTGACACATTTTCTACGCACCTTTTTATGGATTCTGATAATCTCGTCGTTATCTACTAACAGAATTGGAATGTAATATTTGATTTTCATGTTCAATCCTTTGAAAAATCTGTGCACTTCATCGAGAAGGGGCTTACAGTCTTCAGGATCCATCACTGCTGTATGACGACAATCAGGGCAAAGTTTTCGACCATCACTCAGAGTGATAAACTTCATATCTCCTATCTGCAAATAGGTGAGTAAGTTCTCAGTTAACATGTCATAAGTTGAGGAACCGTAAAACAAAATTTAAAGGAGGTATATATTTAACTTGACATCTGTTATTATTGCATAAAGCCAGTCTCGCAACTAGAAAGCTCGTCGTGTATTTTGCTGTTCAGGAATATTCATCATGCAATATATATGCATGTCTATAAATCTCTCTATATGATGGGATTAAATATGAAAGATTGAGTCAGAAGATATTAAGGGAAAATGGGATTGTCCATGACCAGTTACTTTGGTGCTTCTGACTCAAAAAAGCTTAGCTTATCATTGACTTTCATTTTATTAATGAACATAGATTCAATCAGGAGCATCTTCAATTTAATAATATAAGTGGTGTTTAAACACCTTAACTCTGGAACAGGCACAACAGCAAGGGGTTCCATCAGATGTATGCTTTTGACAGAAAGTCTGGCCCCAGTAGGAACACCTTAACCACGCCGAGCAAATCTGTACCAATATTTATGATGTTAAAAGGCAATAATCGAACACAATAGAAGCATCAGCTAACTTATTCAGAAACTTTTTGATCATCTTCACATTTTACAAGGATAAATTACTTCAAGAAAGAATGATTACAAAGTGCAAAAAGGGAAAGACATTTGAGGAAAGGGAACACAAACTTGCTCCTCACAAACATCACAAACAAGTGTATTGCACGGCTTGCTACTCTTTCTCCACCAAGAAGTGCCCCTTCAAAATCAGAAAAGAATGCCAATGCCAATTTGATTAAATGGAATAATTAAGGTAAAATATACTGCAGAATGCTACTATGATAATTAAACCTGGAAAGCTAAAGATGAAGATAAGAAAATGTACTTATCAATCATGAACTGCTTTACTTTCTTATACTGCTAGCTATTATTTCCAAAAATGAGGATTAACAACCTTCTCAAGGATTTAGTATCTAGAAGAATTAGTTTTACATCAAATAGAAGCGTGATTTTATTCTCTTCGCATGGATAACTAAGGACCTAATTGTAAATACTTCTGTACAAGCATTAGAATTGTGTTGCACTTACTTTGATGTGGGGTCAGATGGATTAAACTCCTTGAAATGTTTCCACCATTCCAGCTCTATGCCTCCAGTACTGGCGCTGTAATGAGGTAAAGCTTTAGTAAACAGATATCTGATATTAATCAGATTGCGGCAAAATGGATGTGGTAGGAAAATTACATAAACGTGACATGCGAAACAGTTATAGTAGCTTTGCTGCCATAAATTTAGAAGGATAACTATGTTACAAAGATGAAGTAATCTATGAAGCAGTAAATTTATTTTTCACTATGTTAAAAAGATGAACTAGTCTATGAAACAGTAATTCTATTTTCGGTCCATGTGCTCATAGAGACATGATCTCCCAACATCCTAAAGGGAAATTGACACTACATCATGAACTTAATGGAATATTGCATGTTTTCAACAGGTTGAAGAGCATGGAACTAGTGAAATCTGTAAAAACGTGTTCAACCAAATCTTGTCATGATTTGGGTAGTCTGTTGATTGTGCATAGTTAATGTTCCAGGATCAGGATTATGGATTATATCTGCAGCCACTGCTCTATATTCAAATCTTGATCACTTCCTTGATAAGACTCCACATCTTCAGAGGCTAATTCGTTATCCTTAACCTCAGAGGAGTAGCACGCTGGTTGATGAATATTAAAATTCACATAACCGTCTCATTATCTACATGGGCGGATGTATAGCTTAAATCATGGGGCACGTGAACCCATGGTCTCTCCGTCAAATTAGATATTTTATATACATGTTATCAAGAAGTGCCCAAACCCCACTATGTGGGATTTTACTGGGTAGTTGTTGTTGTTATCAAGAATTGGTCTAATATCTCTATTGGTACCCATGCTCCAAAAAGATTGGATGGTCCACTTGGTTGAATGTTGAGTTATTTACTGAGAGAAATAGGGATCAATTCTCACTTAGTACTTTTTTAAACTGTTTTTAGTGTGCACCCATGTTCAAGAAATTATAGACCCGCCTCTGATTATCTACATGATTTTGTTGAATCTATGGCAGATAAACAAGTCGGTCTGAAGCCTAATCTCGTCTCCACAAAGAGTAAATTTAATTAAAATGAAGGAATGATACTGCAATAACAAGGGAATGAGAGGTTGATCCACATGCCATATTTACCTTAAATCTGTAGAAGATAATGTGATTTCTTCCATCTCTTGTGCAAGTTCTTCTACTTCATCAATCTGGGGAAACTCAATGTCTGACAAAAATTGACCAAACTTATATATGAGACTACTTGCCTAGTAAGAAACCTCTGTTGAGCATTTATAGTTCTGGAAAAATAACAAGTGAAGCTCCAAATTTGTGAAAATTATGGGTTGAGCTAAATATACTAACTTTTTACTGGGACAGAATTTAGCTTTAAAAAGTGAGATGAAAAGGCTACATCATTACCACCCATGTTTACTTCCTTTGCCTGAGATTCTTGAAGAGAGAGATCAATAGCACGAACCACATCCTCATTCTCATCTTCTGAGAATTGGACCTGTGTTGAAGTTCTTCAAATGGGTTAATTGTGCGTTAAGAGATGAATTGACAATAACTTTAAAAATCTCCATTTTCTTTGCAACTTTTAATTGCACAGATCTTCTAAAATACTAACAAATTTCCCCTAGCTTTAGAAATCAAGAGGAAGTTGATATTATCATGTACTATGACCGAATAGCTGCTTATTGAAAGGCTAAAGAACAGATCTTCAATCAGATTTTGATGTAGCTAAAACCAGATGGCAAAACTAATGAAATGACTAAGTTGTTAACTGTTAATTAAGAAAGTGCGACTAGCGTAGTTAACAGCATCATGATCATGGCCCCTACGCTTATCTGTATCAGTTGTTAGACAATTATCATGTTACTGAATCAAAAGGAAACAACCACTGAATTAAGAGAAATCCTAAGCCATTTTCAGATAAATTGCAAGATATGTAATCCTCACTAAGATATAAAGCTACATTGCATGGACTTCCAATCAAAACTTTCTTACATCAGAAGCATTAATCAAATGATAGTAATAATAATGATGATTATGTTAATAACAAAACTTTTGTTACAAAAGACATAGAATTAAACACGATACCTCGTAAGAAGGAATTAAACACGATACCTCGTAAGAAGGAATTAAACACGATACCTCGTAAGAAGGACCTTCATCTAGGAATCGATAAGCCGACATTTTTCAACGTTAAATCCTCTTGAGTTTAAAGCAATATAACAATAATACAGCTGCAAAAACAAGAAAATGCATTAATAGGAAACATCAATGGTGGAGAAAATGGCAAGTTTACCAGAAAATACAAAGGACTGGACGTAGAATCATGATCACTAACCAGAGAACAGAACCCCAAACTTCTGCCAGATGCTTGAAATGTCATAGGCTATTTGTTCAGTCATAAGCAAGAAAAACCAGCAGACTAACATGCCTACTAAATTAATTTTTAAAACATGGTTTACCAAGAAATAAATTTTTAATAAATATTCGTTTGGTTGTACTTACCAAAAAAACAACAAATATTGGGCTGGTAGCACATAAAAAACAAGCAAATCAACCCAAGTGGTAGTTTGGTGTTCTGTTTCTTGTCATCAGAAATAGTATAATATAACAATTGATTAATCATTTTCGTAGACTTTGACCTTGTCAAGTCTTCCTGAATGTTAACAGGCCCGTTTCTAAAATCTAATCACACTACATTTTTCCCTCATTCAAAAAGTCATAAAAAAAAAGTCATCTTTTTAAATCTTAAGGAGAAGAACGAAAGCAAAATAACCTCAAGATTACAAGATGTATAATCATTTCTGCAATAACAATTTTCCCCTTTACTACATTACTCGTGTAAATGGACGGGTTGGACTGAATTTGGGCGGGTCAAGATGGTTTCATTGCCCAACCCAACCCAAAGTGTACTTGAGTTAAGATGGGTTGGGTCAAGATAGGTTAAACAATGGGTCATAATTCAACTCGTCCAACTTGACTCATGTTTTAGAATCATGCTCATCTTGCATAAAAAAAGTCTTTTACCTTAAAATGTGTAAGTTAAAAAAAATTTGGAGGGTGGGGACAGGGGTGGNAATATAAAAAAAAGGAAATTCTTTTTTTTTAGGGGAGGGGGGTTTTGCGAGCAGGGGCAGGGTGGTGGGGGTGGTGCAGAAAAAAAATAAAAAATTGAAAATACAAAAAAAAAATTAGGGGGGGTGATAGAGGGGAGTGGGTGGTGCAGGGAAAAAAACAAAAAAATTAAAAATACAAAAAAAAAAAGTAAAATTGTTTTTTGAGGGGAGGGGGGTTTTGGGGGGACAAGGGGATGGATGGTGCAGAAAAAAAAAAGAACATAAAATTAAAAATACAAAAAAAAAAAGAAGTAAAATTAGGACAACTAAATAAATTTCTATATAAGTTTGGTTGGGATACGTTTTGTTTTGGGTGAGTTTCATGTTTTGTATTTGGGCTGCTTAATGGGTCAAAATAAGTTATAAAATATAATGGATTAACTTGGCTCAAACCAAATTGACCCATGAGCTAAAATTATGTAACACAACCGATTAATCTATGAGCGGGTTGGGCGGGTTAGATGGGTTGGGACTCAAATTGCCACCCCTGACTCGTGTTCGGCTTTACCATTTGCAATTAGTACAATTTCACTAGTTTGTATAATGCATAGAATGAGAATCAACACTCTGGCATTGACTATACTGGGAAGGCAGAAAGAAAACCCTTGAAAAAGGAGGAAATTAAAATCCAAGTGAACTTTCATTAGCGACTTTTAGAGGGAAAAAATAGAGGAAGCCGTAGTTATCAAGCAAATATATAAAGATTATTATTACCCTTTCTGCAGGGAAGAATAAAAAAGGCCATCGTTTCGTGTCTATTGAGTCAAGAACTCAAAATGGTATCCGTAACCAAAATGTGATTTTTTTTTACTCAAACTACACAACTAGGTGGTAAAAAAAAGTTACATTTTTATATATAGCGCCACAATACCTGGCGCTATACATTAACAGTAACAGAACCGTTAATGTATAGCGTCGGGTATTGTGGCGCTATACTGTAAAAGCTGACATGGCCAGGTATAGCGCCGCAATACCTGGCGCTATACATTAACAGTTTTGTTACTGTTAATGTATAGCGCCAGGTATTGTGGCGCTATAATAGATTTTCCTGGCCCCACCAATAATTTTGGACTTCAATAATTCAAAAGCGTATAGTGCCAACGTTTTTGGCGCTATACATATAAAAAAACGGCTAGCCATTTCCTATATAAAGAGGTTAGGATTATATAGAAATTCATCCAAAAAAATTTGTTAACTCTTGTTGAAACGTTTATTGTTCTTAAATTCTCCAGCATTTTTTCATTATGTCTGAAGAGCGTAGAATAAGAGTTTCATTATATTGGGGGGGTGAGGTTGTGATGGAGAATAATTCTGTGGGCTACAGTTTACCTGCTCAGTGTCATGTTAAATTGCCACTTACAATAGAGTACGATAAATTGATATCGTTATTATGCAAAAAACTGAGTGTGAGGAAACGTTCAGTTATAGTTAAAGTAACCGGAAGATATCCGTATTCCGTCACTCCGCAAGGGGTTGTTTTTTACTCGGAGTTTAACATCGACGATGATGAAACTTTGAGTGATTTTTTGAGGACTCCGGACGAATGTCGGGAATTTCTTGTAATCACAATGTTGGAGATGTATGTGAAGGTCGAAGACGTTCCCAAAAACGAGGTTGTGCGTAGCAGAGATAACCCTCAGTCATCGAGTGGTTATTCTGGAGCAGTTTTTGCCGAACAGGTTCCGGATGAAAGAGTTTTCATTGATTTAAACTTATCACCGGCGACGAATGAGCAACGAAAAAATAATTTATACCCTACTTTCCATAATTCACTAGACGAGTGGTAAGCTTTAATTTTCATTTGTGTTAATTATGTATATT